TATTGTAAAATAGTTTTTTTATATGTTGCACACCGGGTGAAAAGTCAGTCGTGTAACATCGACGGTCGCTCCTGTATAACCGGATATCTGCCGAATAATCCGAGTCTATCCGAGTATAATTATTTTTCGGATAGTTTTTTATAAATTTCTAAAATTATGCGGATAGCTAAGATTTTAAAGCTACGGATCGCTACTCTAACACATACTACATTGATATAAACAGTTATAATCTAGAGAGAGATATCGTAAATTGGATTTGCGGGGAAGATGAATATAAACCTTATAGTCGTGATTACACTGGCGTGTATCAAATCTTGTTCGGTTCAAACTGCTAGTTTCTTTAATTAAATGTTATTACAAGAAGTAAAAAAATTAAACATATGCAGATTGAAATCTTTGATAGTAAAAAAAATGGTTGTAGAAGCACTTCATGAAAGCATCATTATTAGTCTTTTAGATCTTTCTGGTATTAAATTTAGCTTCGAAAAAGTAAATGTAATAGCGAATATTCTTTATAAAAATTCCATTCTAACCTCACTAAGACTTTTTGATTGTAGTCTTGATTCAAAGGAAATGAAAGTACTCAGAGGCTCTTTGTAACAATACAACTTTTTGTCCTCACTTGATATTTCTGGTAATAAATTTGGTTATAAAGTAGCAAAAGTATTGGCAATAAAAATACTCCTTAAATATTATCGATAACAAAATTGGGTTTGAAAATATAAAGAAATCGCTTACAAAAATACCTCTTTTAAAGAATCTGGCTTTAAGGGGAGCGAGGAGTTGGCTGAGGTACTTAATGTAAAAGCACTATTCTAACACAGTGATAGTAAACGACCTGAAATTATCCAAAAGACAATGACGAGTCATTGGGGCCCCAATGACTTAGAAGGTCATTTATTAATATTCTAATTCCCTTTAGCCAATCAGAATTGGCTACCAAACAAAATTAGAATATAATCGATAATCGTAGCTATATATTAAAGTCAAAATTTTACTAAGTCAATCAAACTGAAGAGTTCACTTCTGCATTTATATGAAAGTTAATTAATAAAAAGTTTTTTTCAATTTACATGAAACCTTAAAATATATGCAATTTATTATTTCGAACTTAAGATTGATTGACTTAGTAAGATTTTGACTTTAATATATAGCTGATTATCGATTAGGAAAGTAATAAAGTTTGATAACTTTTTATATGAGCAATTCTATAAAATTATTTTATATGCAAATGACCTAAATGAGCTTAATAACCCAAATGATCTTGTCAGATTTGGGTCATTTACTATTCCTGGGTATTTTTATTGGGCTTGGGCCCGAGTCTAGCCTATTTCGAAACCTATACGTATACATTATCTACTTCCAAATGACCCAAAATTGAGATGACCTATCATTTCGAGGTCATTTGAAAAATGTGCAAATGACTAGGTTATTTGCCATCACTGTTCTAACCTCCTAGGATATTAATGATCGTAAACTTTGTTTTAGAAGAATAAAATGAAAAATGATAATTGAGTCTCTTTAAAAATTTCAGATTAAAATTAAGTTAGTTTTGAAGGTATTGTAAAAAACATCGCTTTAATTTTTTTAGAGCATGATATTAGCAGGAGTTCTTTATAAAAACACTATTTTGACTTCTTGGTTTTTCTAATAATTGGCTTCGTTGTGAAAAATATCATTTTAACATCCTTAAACTTTCGTAATAATTAATTTACTTCTGAAGTAAAGCATTAACAGATACATTTTGCAAAACTCCAATTTAAATCTATCTAATAATCTACTTACTTTTAAAGAACAAGTACTAGCAAGTGACTATTTGTAAAACGATACTTGATTCCTTTGAATCTTTGTGGTAATTGACTTGGTCACGAAAGAGTAAAAGTAATAATGGCAACTCTTTGTAAAAACACCACTTTAATTGATTTAAAAATTTGCTATAATCTATCTGCCTTTAAAGAATACAAACTATTATCAAAAGTTCTTACAAAATAATGCTCTAATTCATTAGATTCTTACTATTAAATCGTGTGATACCATTTTCCTTATTTGTTTAATTAGATTTTTTATTTATTTATTTTTTTTTAATAACAATTCTTTTATACAAAAGTTTTATACGAAAGAACTCGAAAAAAGGGCTAAAATTATTTAAATAATATATATATATATATTGTATAATATTGATCTCTAAAAATCTGTTAATAAAATTCTCAATGTATTTAACTAGTCTACAGATATTTATTCTCAATTTATAAAAAATTTTCATACAAAAATAAGAACTACTATGTACAAATTTATAAAAATAATAAAATGGTTATAAAAAATAAATATTAGTTTCATTTAATCAATCATTTTTGACTTTCTTCTACGATGTTTGGTCCTATTAGTCGGATGAACGTTCGCCTCAGGCATTAAATGAAATCGATAAGCTTCAATTATCTAAATAATAAAATAGGTATAAGCAATTAAAGTGAATACTTAATATATTGTCGCGGCCGAAGCTGGAAACGGCTGAAGCTAGAAATTTAGGGATCTCAATTTAAAAAGATATACTCTACTAAATCCGCTTATACCCTTTTATTATTAAACCTAATTTTAAATTCTAACCTTACTATTAGAAAAAATGAACCCAAAAATTTTGAAATTTCATATTTAAAATATTTAAAATATTTAAAATTTCCAGCATCAGCCATTTCCAGGACACACACATTATGTCTAACTATATTAATAAAAATGACTTACAAGATCTTTCATTACTTCAGCAGCCATAACAACCGCATTTCCCTCAACTTTTTCAACAATATAGCGTTTTTGCATAACTGGGAACCGAACACATTTTAGTAAGGATGGAAGAGCAACTATTCTATCACCTTTCCAAGGTTTTGGAAACTTTTGATTATCTTCCGTTTCATCGTCATCGTCATAATAATCATCATTGATTGTTTCAACATCGCTAAAATCTTGATCCATGGACCCTTTTCCTTCAGCTAGTTGACTAGAATTACCGGCACCTTTCGGAAGTTCAGAAAGCATAGAATCAGACGATGAGGAAGATGAAGTAGATGGTAAATCATCAACCCTTATGCTTTTAGAATAATTTTTTCCAGGGGATAATTTATTAGACGGATCACCAGTGCAAGAATAATTTACCCATCTAACAACAAATTCATAAATCTTCTCTTCAGAAGTTACATTAGCTTCATCATTTTCAAGAGCGAGGCGGAGAATGTTTGGATCAGCACAAAGTGTTGATTGTTTATCCAATAGAGTATCCAAATTAAGAGCAACAAAATCCCGACAAGCATTTGAGGTTTTTGCACAAGAAAATTTTTCTTATAAAAAGACTAAAGTTAATAAATAAGAATACAAATATATATATATTTATATATTTATAGTATGTAAATACCAGTAAAAACATACCAGCAATCGCCCAAATTCCCCATACATTATCAGTATTCATTTCCAAACGGAAATAACGTAAACATCCTTCACGAACAGGCATAATTTCAAATTTATCAGCCAATGCCAATAAATTTTCAGAGTCGCTCAATGAAGTAATATTAACTTTAAGAGTATATATAGAAGTAAGTAATGAAAGAAAAGCAGAATGATTTGTTTGATATAGAGGAATTTCATCCTCATAAGTTTCTTTCATTCCATTTGTCAACATTGCCTCAAATACTTTTGAAGAACTAGCAAGAATTCCTTTATGAGCATAAAATAATTTTTCTCGACCAGAATCATCAGTTACACGAAATGTTATGTCAGAAAATTTTGGAGAGTTAACTAGTTTATCCAAAGGATTAACGACTTCGGGTAATGCATCTATAATAGATTCTTGAATTTCGAATTTTACACAAAGGGAGACAGTATCATTACTGATAAATCTATAAAAAATTTTTTTTGTAACAAGATATTAGAAAAAAAAGTCATACATAACATAAAAAAGAAATTTACAAAATATTCACCTATCCATTTCATCTAGAGACATAAGATTTTCTTCTCCCCAAGTAGAATGTTCTGTGAATTCGATTTCAATAAATACATAAACAAATGTAAATATATATATAATATATATATATATAATAGTAATTCGAAACATGCATACTATCGCAGAACCAAACAGGCAATTCCACTAATTAATCATGATACAGTAAGAATAGTGGATAGATGAATAATAAATTAATTAATAACGAAAGAATAACCAAAAAAAAAAAAAAAAGGGACAATAAATTTAATTTACTCTTTCCAAAATCCATTCCCCTAGTTCTCAAATTTTCCAAAACGAAAATAATACTGACTTTCTTACGAATGCCTTGAAGACATCCTGGTGTTGTCTCTACAATACCTAAATACAACGACAAGGCCTTATAAAAAAAAAAAAGTTCAAATGACATAAATAACAATTGAAAA